ACTGTAAAACATAAGCATSAAACGCACCCAAAGTTCCCCTGCAGCTACGAGAACCTTTGGACAACAGGGAAATGCCCTGYCCTGCTACCTGAATCAGGACACTAGATTAAAAATAGTAAAAACTAGTAAAAGCAAGCCAACAATCCGTGTGTGGAGAGGCTGCCGTGGCCGTTCCCAAACTCTGACAGACCAAATGATTCCTGTGCTGGCTGGAAACAAACCACTGTAAGCAGGCTATCTAAAGGCCCCTATAACAGTGAGTCTAGAGCTTTTATTTCCTCCCTTAAGCACAGCCTAAATCCACATCTGGAAGAAGCTACAGGTTTCCTCCAGGAGCCTCTGTCCTCTCGAGACTCCTACAGTAGGGTTTTATGACGGCTGTGACTCAAGACAGAAAAAAAGGGACYAGGAAACTCAAAACACAGACCAGCTCACACACCCGGATACGGGGCTGGAAATCACCACAGGCTTTCAATAACAAACAAGGCTTTTTCTTTCCCTGCACCCCTGTCCAAGACAGCAATTTTTGCTTTCACCCGGAGTAGGATGGAATCCAAAWGATGCCTCTGAACATGTACAACACACAAAACGTTAAAGCAATTTTCCTCTGTGTACCACAAACCTATAGGTACTGTTGTGTCGGTGCTCAAACTGGTGCCAATTAAGAAATCGCCAATAAGAGCCGGTCTCTCGTACACCCAGGATGGGAACACTGGGATGGGCTGCCCGGAATTCTTCTTGTTTTGCTTATCTCGGAGCATTTTTCGTGTAACCTCAAGAGGCTGTTGGCAGAGGGAAAAAAAATGAGAGAGAGAGAAACATTTTCATTCAGAAGCTAAACTGTAATTTTGTATTTTTCGCAGAAAATGCTGTAAATCAATCACTTAAAAATAGATAGTGCACGAGTTGGTCTTTTAGATACGATCTCCCATTACCTCCCAGTCTATTGGTCTCAGTGCTGCAGAGCTCGCTGGTTTTTTACCTATTTGTCCCTCCTTCCAAAGGGTCTCTGCACCACAGCCTTGTGCCAGGGAGGGAAGGCAACAAGGGGGTTCACAGCAAAGCCAGAGCAAACAGCCGGTGAGGAGAAGTGGAAGGAGCCGGAGAGGCCACGGGAAGGCGRAGGGGTGACCCGGGAACAACCCGTGACCACGCAAAGAGCGGACACCAAGATGACAACGGATGGAGCCCAACTTCCACCAGCAGCGACAAGCGATGTGAGAGGCAGCAGGCACAAGCAGCACTTTTATTTCTTCCTTGAGCAAGTCTGCACACAAACTGTAGCGGACTTGTTCTCCCTCCTTCCTGCCCTTAACTGGAATCATTTTGTTTCACGTGCAAACAGCCAAATCATTTTGTTTCACGTGGCTACGTTCACACCACAACGGGAGTGACTGCAGGATGTTTTTTCTGCCATGTATCAGAGAGCAGAAACCGTAGTGAGAAAGGGGAAAATAATAAGGGCACGGTAAATGCAAAGATCCCGAGCAAGCACAGCTACAGGCAGAAGGGGGAATGTCAGGGCAGCTTAAAACAGTCACCTGAAAGGGAAGGCTTGGCCTGCCTCAATTCACTTGAACAGAAAAGGCTGCCTTCACTTTGAATATTTAATATAAACCAAAAGAGAAATCTGAGAGGCAGCTTGGATTATCTGCGTAGACAACTGCCCCGGGGAACAAGGAGCACAGGTACCCACGTGAAGAGCAGGGAGCTGCCACGGCCGAGGCCGGGGAGGACGGCTACCTGCTGCGCGCTGGAGCTGGCCGCCACGCTGCCCAGCTGCTTGCGCAGCTCCTCGAGCTCCTGCAGAGATATCTTGGAAGCGGACGAGGGGATGGAAAAATTGGTGCCACCGGCGGCGGCGGCCGCATTTGCCGCGAGTTCTGCCCGTTCTTTGGCGTTTTGTTGCAAATACTGGAGCGTCTGCGCACACACACAGAAGAAGAAGGGGTCTTGTCAACACCAGTCAGCACACAGTAAAAAGCAAAAGGCAGAAGAGCCTAAAATTGGCTGCATTAACSYGGAYCAAAGCTATTTCTGTCCCAGTGTCCTGTGTCCTACAGKGCCCCATAATGACAGAGGTCCATAACCTCCCTCTGCACTTAGGGCACTTCAAATCTTGTACCACAAATTTGTTTTCTGAGCATTAAATTTTAGCCCTGTGCCAYGCAGGACACTGTACACATTACACAGAATAATTCTTGTTCTCTGTTGTCAACGTTAACTCCCAACCTGATTGAAGGCATTAATTAATTAACAATGAAGGCATTAATTAACACATTGGTGTGAGCGTTAAAAACGCTGTGCCAATGGACATTTCTTCTTTACAAAGGAAGAAGAAACCCCAAAAGGATGTACCACCAAACGGGCCCCACCGTGCTGGCGCTTACAGGGCTGAGCGAGTTAACTTCTTGCAGGGCACCTGCACCAAGTTTCCTTGACACCACCAGATATTTCCTCACCTTTCATTAGCCAAAGGATCTGCCAATTCCTCTGCTCTCCAGAATTTCCCTCCCTCCCAACCTCACAAGCCGAAACCAAAGGATTAACCCGAACGTCTTGGTGAAACCTCACTTGTGTAATTCACTCTAGTACCTCAGTTACAGCGGCCTGTCTTGTGTTGGTTTCGGTGTGTTTCCCTGAACGCTGTCATCCAACAGCGTGTCCTACTGAAAGCCACTGCACTGCCACTACTGCTGCTGAATACCTGGAGCGGATTCCCTTCTAATGCAGAAACAAACCTCCTTGTCTTCCGTGAGCTTTGACAGCAGATACACCAAGGAGTCCAGATGCCTTGTGTTTTTAGACTTCAGCTCATCATACTTCTTTAAGAAGTCCTCGGGAGTTCGAGAAAACTCTGCTATCTTTACCTGTAAGACACCACGTTAATATTAAACGTCCAATACACAACATCATCGCACCCTTCTGCCACAGAACGTGGCAATCACAGGCAAGGCACTCCAGGGAAGAGGTTTCGGAAGGATGAATCCGCTTGTTACTTCATCCCTATTTTGTTTGTTCCAACCCTCGGTCCTTCTAATCAAAGCCGACACCGCCGCTGCAGGTGCGGCACGGTGCCAGGTCTGGGCCATGCCACCCGCCCGGGGAGCTCACGCCGAGGAACACCGATGTGGGATTGCTCCTTGTGGGGCCGGCGCACCCTCCAGCAGCGAGCGAGGGGTGCCCGAGGCCGCAGGGACCCTTTGGGTGCCCCTCACCCTGCTCGAGCGGGCTCACTYGGGCCGCACCGCGTCCGGAGAGGCGCCGAGCACCTCCAGGAAAGGGGAGCCCGGAGCCTCCCGCTGCCGCCCTGGGCTTCGCGGTGTCCACGGGCTCTCGCCCCACGGCCGGGAAGGGCCAGGCCCGTCCCCTCGAAACCCTCCATTGATCGCAGGACGGCTGAGGTTGGAAGGGGCCTCTGGAGACCACCCAGTCCAACCAGCTCCTGCAGGGACACCCGGAGCACGGCGCACCATCCGGGTGGGTTGTGAAGCCCACTGGGACGGCGGCTCCACACGCATCCCCGCGCGGCGACGGCCGGGGGTGGCGGGGGGCCGCTCGCCTTGGCGCCGTGCGCCGACACCGTGGTGGTCACGTAGGGCGTGCGGTTCTTCTGCAGCAGCTCGATGTAGACCTCGGCGCCCTCGCCGCCCTGCACGCGCAGCAGGCTCAGCAGCTCGTTCACGTCGTGGTGGATGCGGAACTCGCTCATGCTCCCGCGCGGGGCCCCGCCGCTCGCCGCGGGCCGGGGCGCTCCCCACGCGCGGCGCCCCTCACGCGGAGCCGCAGCCGGAGCCTCCCGCGCGCCGCCCCGCCGGCGCCGCCATCTTAGCAGCCTCCTTCCCGGCCACGGAGGGACCCTCCTGCCCGCGCCGCAAAAAAAAAAGTCCGCGCCGTTGCCGAGGCAGCCTCGAAAACGGGGAATACAGCGAGGCCGGAGCAACTCCGCATTCGGGCCCGGAGTCCGGCCTGACCCGGATTGGGACGCGAACCGGCGCCGCCTCCCGCGGCGGGACGCGCCGCGC